GAGCTGGCATGACAGGGGGTCCCAGGCGGGGACCTCACAGTGGGACAGGGGAGAAGGGCAGGGTGGAGGAGGCCTGCTGAGAAGGATAGGAGTGAAGATGGAGAGGGTCCTGGCCAGCTGAGAAGGGTCTAAGGAGCACCAAGTGTGTTTGCACTTTGTGCTCCGAGATGCTCAGTTTTGGGGTCCTGGGCAGCTGGTATTGGATTGCAAGGCATCTGCTAAATAGCATCTCCTCTCTTTCTCCCCCCAGAAACACACCGGTAAGTGGGGCAAGACTATGATCGAGTACCGGTCGCAGAAGACCTCGCGCCTCCCCATCATTGATATTGCACCCATGGACATAGGAGGGCCCGAGCAGGAATTTGGTGTGGACATAGGGCCTGTCTGCTTCTTGTAAAAACCTGAACCCAGAAACAACACAATCCATTGCAAACCTAAAGGACCCAAGTACTTTCCAATCCCAGTCACTCTAGGACTCTCTGCACTGAATGGCTGACCCGACCTGATGTCCATTCATCCCAACTGTTCACAGTTTGGACTTTTCTCCCCTCTCGTTCTAAGAGACCTGAACTGGGCAGACTGCAAAATAAAATCTCGGTGTTCTATTTATTTATTGTCTTCCTGTAAGACCTTTGGGTCAAAGCAGAGGCAGGAAACTAACTGGTGTGAGTCAAATGCCCCCTGAGTGACTACCCCCCAGCCCAGGCTAAGAAGACCCCCTTCAGGTGCGGGGCGCAGGAACTGTGTGTCCCACACAATGGTGCTATTCTGTGTCAAACACCTCTGTATTTTTTAAAACATCAATTGATATTAAAAACAAAAAATTTGTTGGAAAGTACATATCGACTTGGGTTTCGTTCTTCATTTTCCGTCAGTCCTTGATTCTGTAGCATGATCCAACAGCCACCCGAAGGCCTCCTTCTGTTGACTTCTCAACCAACAGGGGAGGGCACCGAAGCCCCTGCACTGCCTGGTTTAGTGGCCTCACGCAAACACGAACTTGCCCCTTCTTATAAGCCTCGGCACTGTGTGGAGCCCAGGGGTGAACTGGGACCCTACACTGAGATTTGGGAAGGGAGGCACCAGAGAGGGATAGCCTTGTTCTTGAGAGTGAACTTGGAACAGAACTCGGGTAGATCAGTGCAGAAGGAGCAGTGAGCTCCGAGCTCGGGGTGGACACTGTGGGCTGCATCCTGCTGGGTGGGAAAGGTTGGAGATGCTCCTGAGGCGGTGGTGGGGGGGGAGCAGAAGGGGGCAGGAGGGGAGCGGCCCATGCTAAGTGCACACAGTCAGACAGTCTTGGTGGCCTACTTATTTGTGTCTTTTTCTAAGACTGTTAGGTCAAGGAGAGGTGGGACTGTTAAATGCTAATCCAGCCCCTATTCCTCTTTCCTGCCCTTGTGCCTCTGGCCCCCCTTCTACATTTCCTATACTTAAAGCTTCCTTGGACTTCCTCCCAATATCAGGCTCACGAATAGGCAGCCCCCCCTCCCTGTCCTCAGGTGTCCCTGATTTCTAATGACTTCTGTATGTGTGGCTGAAATGAGGAAGCGGTCACCTTCACTAGAGAGGGCTAGTTCATAATTTTAAATGAGCAACCCTTTCCTTTTAGCTCAATCCCTCCTCACAAGGTCAACAGCGTGGTGATTGTGGCAGGGAGGGGAGTACAAGGGGACAAAATGGTAATGGGAAAAATACCAAAATAATCTTAAAAATAAAGTAACTCTTCCATCTATCGAGAGCTAATGGGGGACAGAGGAGAGCAGTGAAGGGTAGAGATGCTCATGAAAACATTTCCCTGGATACCCGGTGGGCCTGTCGAGGGCGGTCAGGTGTCAACAAGTCAACGCCACTCCAAGAGCCCATCCTGCGTCCTAGTTCACTTAGCTCCCTGCAGTGGCATCAGGCTACTTACTCCTACTAAAGCAGCTCAGGAGACTGTGACCAGAAGCTCAGACCCTTGGACTGTGCATCTGAAAGTTTGGCTATTTCCTCATCACTTAGATTTATTGGCTCAGGGGCTCTGAGTTTTTCTTGAGCCATTTTTGGTCTATTTGCGCAGGTAAGTAAGGGGGGCAAAGCCTTAGTTGTTCACCATGGCGGGGCCACCCAGGTCGCTGGTTTGTGACGCTGCGTGTGGGGGCGGGGTCAGAGAGGGAGCAATGGCGGTCCTCTCCGTTAGCCCAGTCCGTCCCGTTTCACCACTGCCCCAGCCTGTTCATCCAAGCAGAATTGTGGGAGCCTGCTGCCCCGCGCCCTGCGGTCTCAATACTGGCCTCGTCACCGGTTTATCTGCACGCAAATGCACGACCTACCGCAGACACAGCCAGCCGCTCCTCTTCCCTGTGTGCGCCGGTAGTGAGCCTGCGATCCGATCCGCGCCTTCAGCTGCTTGCGCGCCACCAGGTCAGGGATCTTTTCGGTCAACCGGCTTCGCTGCTGGCTTACCCGTTTAGCCGAGCATTTCGTCCTTTATTTATTTTTTTTTCCGGACTCCGTATTGTCGATTTTCTGTGTGGTCTGGTTGTAATTATCGTTGTTAAAAATAGTTGTTCTTAGATTTGGTTGTGCACGGAAGTGAGGTGGGTCCACCTACACCTCCAACTTGGCAGAAGTCCAGACCCTTGGAAAAGAGGTCCCATTTCCACCAGGATACCCAGGTGATCCCTTGCTGCCCACCCACTCCCTGGGCACCTGGTGAAACCTAGAAATTACAGTTACTGTTACACAGTAATCAAGGAATGAACCAGAGGTGGGGAAGAGAAGCAGAGGAACAGCCAACCGTACCTCCCTGTGGTCAAATTGAAATGTGGTGTCAACTTACTCTTGGTGCCCCCTGTCTGGCCCGGACCAGAGGGGAGGGGGAAAGCGACCAGGTTTGCATTAATCCCTGCGATCCCCAATGCCCCAGGAAAGGCCAAAGGCCTCTGCAATAAGAATAACCTGTTGTACAAAAATGCTGACCCTGGCGGGACTGCACGAACATACCTGGCATACCAACTGTGAGGCCTCGGTCAGATTACCTTTCTCGTGCTTTCTCATCTCTACGAATATATCTGAAGGCTTTTAACCAGGAGTCAGAGCTGCAGCTAAGACTCAAGTTCCCTAGATCCTGGGTAAACGACAGAACAACTTCTAAACAACTGAAGGAACACAGAGGGAACCTTCACAGAGTGCTTTTGAGGTGCTGAAGGCTCTTATAAAGACAAAGAATAAAGATTATTTTGCACAGAGGAAATACTTGAGACCCCTTAGGCTTCATGTAGGGCATTTGTAAGTAGCAGATTCTTTCAGTAATTTGTCTCACCCTTGGGTTTAGAATCCATAGACGGTGGAGTCAAGGACAGTGGGGATCCCGCCTTGGGGCAACGGGTTGAGGAGGAGATGGGGCCTGGTGAATATAAAAGGCTGGTGATAACGTTTTAAACTTCTAGCTATGACAAAACACCTCAGAAAATGCAGTCCTTAGCATACAGCCAGGAGCTCAATAAATACTTCTTTGGAATGAGTAAATGAACAAACGGGGACTTCAACCAGGTGACACAGGGTAAGCAGTGTAAGTGGCTGGAGAGCAGAGAGAGGGGTCACAGGAGAGGCCACGCCAGAAGCTGCAGAGAAAGAGAGATCTCCGATGAAGCCTCATTTCCAGGAAACACATCCTCTCCAAATCCCAGTCCGTCCGAAATCCAGTGATGACGGCGATGACACCTGAGCCGCCGCCTCCCCCTCTGCTGCGGTGTTGCTGAGAGCAGACTGCACGCATGTGTTCAGGAAACGACAGATGGCGTGGACAACTGTGCAGAGCGTCCCGGGGGCGGCTCAGGATGCCAGGAATGTAAATGGGTTGGAGAAGCCGTAGCATTATGAGGTCAGATTTAGTGCTCTGTTGGAAACAATTAAGTGCTTTCATTTGAATATCGTAGCTGGATCTAAGGTAATACTGAGCCCTGGCTGGTGTGGCTCAGCTGGTTTGTGTTGTCCCGCACGCCAAGGGTCGTTGGTTTGAGTCCAGGTCAGGGGTCACGTGGGGGGGGCAACCCATCGATGTTTCTCTCCTTCTCTTTCTCCATCCCTTCCCCTCTACAAAAAGTATTTGTTTTTAAAAGGTAATATTGAGAAGTAAGAAATGTTATTGAGGCACAGTCACGAAAATTATTAAAACTTAAGTACCTATATGAGTGAGTAGCTTTTCCGAAATTACATGAAAAATATACTTGAGGCAATTTGGGAATGGGAAAATTAAAAAGACACTGTAGCCACGTGAGCACCTTCAGGTGTTCAGGGCTATGTTCTCAAAAACAGAGGACACTCGTTTGCACACAGGTCGCGGCCCATCATTGACACATGGAACGGTCGCCACCACTGTGTCCACACAGACCACCGAGCAACCCTGAAATGCAACTTTCGACCCTCAGCATTTGGGTTACCCCATCACAGTCGATGGAAGCGAAACAGTCCCAAAATGTAGCCTTAGTTAAATAAAGACTCAGAGTGTCAAAATCACTAAGCAAACATCGAAGATCAAACTACAGGAATGAGGACTGATACGGATCCTCCACCGGTGGCTGTTTCTGGAGGCCGGCTCCTACTCGAGCTTCCCAACGAGATCCTCTGCCATTGTCCACTGCTTGATGGCCAAGAGCTTGGAGACAGTTCAATAAACTTTCAGACTCAAACCAGGCCCTTTTAGCCAGAGTGGCAGCCAGTGGTGGGGAGCTATTCCTTCCCAGGAAGCAGCTTCACTCCTCTGGTATCTGCCCTACCTCTTCCGACCTCCAGGGGGCACAAAGCGCTCTGTGCGGGAACAGCAACAGGGCAGCCTGCCACCACCAGAGGCAGGAGAAAGGTGAGGCTGTTCTCTGATAGGAGCTTCCAGCGATGGTACAATGAGGGTTCCTTCTCTTCCCCTCCCATCCTGTGCTGACCTACTTAGCCGGCAACTCACCCACAGTTCCCCCAGCCGTGTCTAAGATATCCCAGCAAGCAGAGGAGACGGAGAGGAACCAAAAGCAGGGTTTATTTTTCTACCAAATCCCAAATCCATGTTCCAGCCAATGGATGAAGGGTAAATCAAGCCCCACATAGACTCTTAGTAAAAACAATTAGAACATTCTACCAGGAAAAAAAGTTCTGCTTCTTAAAAAAAAAGTTACTAGGCATTTGGGAGATGAAACAATTTCGCACACCGCGTGGTCTGTGCTCTCTTTGTGCGTCCCAACGCCCCCCTCCCCTCCCACCCGGGCAGCTGCAGTCCTGAAAGCAGCTGCACCAACAGTCCCAGCTCCACGTCGCCCTGGTTTCTGACAGAGTCCCACGGTGGGCTTCCAATTCATAATGCTCCAGGAACTGCTCCAGGGCCAGCCGAGAAGATCTGAATTGAATTCTTTCAGCCGTGAGTGTCTGCTATGTGCTGGGCATAGGCTTGGTGCTGGGCAGTGGATCTGCTGGTCGATGAGAAACATCAGTGGTGCTGGAGTTGAGTTTTCCTCCCAAGGGGCAGGAGGGTGTGTGCTGGGGACTAAGAGAACCAGTTTCTCCTCCACCTCCACCGCCTGGGGCAGGTACGGGCCCTGGAAGCAGATGCCGTGTCTCTTCTGACAGGTGCTGCCATGGAAGAACCAAAAGCGGTTTCTAAACAGCGGAGGAGTTTTTTCCACAATCCACGTAGTGATGCGTCTCCAAGGAGCTCTCAGTCATGTGGCCAATGTATGAAATCTTCACTGAAGTTCTAGGGAAAAGAAACCAAGAATTCTGTGTTTGAGATGAAATAAGAAGAACTGCTCAAATAATGTCTTGCACACTCAGTCAACAATACCCATGTGTACATCCAATATCCCAGCTTCATGGTTACCCAAGAGAACCTTCCCGAGCCCACAGAGATGCTGTGCTGCCTACTGACTTTCCACATAAGCCAGTTCTCAGCTGGGGACCATTTCCCCCCACCACGGACTGCCGGACTGCCAGCCCTGTCTGGAGACATTCTGGTTTGTGACAACTGAGGGGGAGGAGGTGGTGAGTGTTACTGGCGCCGGGTGCACAGAGGCCAGGGTGCCGTTAGGGACCCTGCAGCTTGCAGGAAAGCACCCAGCAACAAGCAACTGTCTGCGCGGGAGTGTGGACGGGCGCCGGGGCTGGGAAACCTTGCTCCACACCCTCCTACTGTTCGTGTCCATAGAGACACCTGTTGTCTACAGATGTGACGTGGCTCTAGGAGCGCCCCAGGGGTTCGTGACGGACGTGTGGTGATTTGTGTGGCTAGAGACTCAGTCCAGCCAAATGCCTGACAAAGTGCTTTGTTCCTTATGAGTCTCGTTCGGGTTCTAAAGGGTCACAACACTAGTCCTGTTTCATGGGAAACGTTCTCAAACATCTCAGTTTGGAACAATTCGGTTCTTGACCAAGTTGTTCATGGAAAAAACGTCTTGGCTGTCCAACAAAACTTTGGTTTTGAGTCTCCACCTGATAGCCTTCCACACTGACACTCATGTGATCAGTCACGTGTCCCTCAGGTGATAAACAAAGGAGATTCAGGTTTTGAACAAATTGGCTCCTCGAACAGTTTTCTGGAACAAATTAAGCTTGAGAACTGAGGTTCTACCACACCCCTAACTGCTCGCTGTGACTCTGGTGGTTTGTGAAGGGATTTGGACACTGCATCGAGCGGACACCAAGAGTTCGCTGTGTCTGAGCCTGGAGGCAGCGGGCGCCCCTCTTTGGCCCTGTGCCCTGCCTTGCGGGTCCCACGGGGCCTTGGGCGGGGGAGGCGGAAGCTCACACAGCCTGACGGTCCAGGCTCAAACCCCAGGCCACGGAACAGGGAGGAGAGAGACGTACCTCATGAAGATCACTATGTTGTGCACCTCGATTTCAGGTACTGTGCAGAAGAAGCTACCAAACAGCCAATACAAAAACAGTCAGTTTAGTTTAAAAAAAAAAAGGAGGATCAGCAGGAGAGCACCAAGTTACACTGTCAAACGGAGGAGCAGGCAGCCGTTTGGGAACCCCCTCCCCACACGACTCTCCCGACCGCAGCGCACCATGGTTCACCAGCCCACCCGGGGTCCCTTCACCCTCCCATGAACTTCTTGTTTTCTCAAACCCATCAGACATAAATGCTGGAGCTCGGAAATGTTTCCAGTGGCTGAAGGTTCTCCTTTAGAGATCCCAGCACTTCAGTCACATTATCAAAAACCACACCCGCCCAAAAAAGCTCAAGACAGCCACAGCTAGGGAACCTATGGGCCCAAGGCTGGAGCTTCCAGCAGGACCAGCCCCGATCAACTGAGTACAAGTGCTCCCCCACCCCTCCCCCAGCGGACAGCACACACAGAGAACAGCACCCTTACTACACATAGGAGAACGGGCCTCCCATCTCCGCCTGCACAGTAAAATTGACCTGAAAAGAAAACATCAGAGTCGGTCGGTGGCCATGCAGGAGTGACACAGAACACTACTGTCATCAGCATTCAAAGACCTGGGAGCATTCTTCTCTCACATACAAAACATTTCCACTAGATTGTCCTTCATAGGGATTGTGAGTCTCTTACAAATTCTTCTAACCTCTTCCCTTCTGAGAGGCCAGTGGACTTCAGACCATCCATCATTCTGCCTCTTCTTGGTTTGTACCAAGTTGCTTTCTTTTACATGTTCTTTTTTCCCCCTAATACGTAAGTGCTAGCTAATTCTGCCCCCCCCCCCCAATTTCTCATAATTACAGAGCCCATCAGGTCTTTCTCATTGACCAGCTCTTCCCAGTGAAAACGAGAGGAAAGGGAAAGTAAAGAGGCTACGCCATTCCTACAGCCCCTGCTCTGCTCTTAGGCCTATGGGGCAAGGATCCTAAAAAAAAACAGACCCCAAACAAACAGCATACCAATCGCTCGCTCCGAGGTGGAATGAGGGAGGTGTTAGTTGTCACATGGGACCCAACGACTGTGTTCATGTACTGAACTTGGCTGGACAGGCTGGTCACTGCCACAGAGTAGAAGTTGGAGTTCCTGATTTTGAGGGTGGCCTGCAACAGGGCCAGTGAGGAAACAAGTGTAAGTTTGTCTCCTCGAAGGCCCAATACTCGCAGGTGCACAACCCGGGAAGTGAGGCCCTAAGTCTTACCTTGATGGCGAGGATTACAAGGGAGTCGTGATTATTAAGTGTGACTTTCATCACTTTGATGCCATCATCATCCACAAGGACTGAATGAGGAAACAGGAAGAAAGCCACCAAACCAAATGCCAGGAGACAGAGCAGGACAGACAGGAGGACATACTGTTTGCTGCAAATGACAGAGCACATGACCAACTCAGGCAGTCAGATTGCAAGGTCCAATCCGTTAAGGTCAACTGCAAAACCAGGAACAATGGGGGAGGGGCCGGAGTACAAAGGGCTAGGAGCCACCAAGCAGGCAGGAATGGGTGGAGTGGCAGAAGCCTCTGCTGTCTGCCTTCCGGGAGGGGAAGCTGAAGAGAGGAGCTGCAAGGGCAGAAACGTCTCCTAACCTCCCGGGACACGTCTCCAATTCCTTCCAATTCAGTTCCTTCACTTGGCCCTCTGAATGTTCCTAGCTTCAAGTTTCCTCCCCCAGACAGTGAAAGGGGCAGATACCTTTCTTGAGAGAATAGTATTAAGAAAATGGAGGAATTTACAAGAACAGATCAGAGGTTTCAAAAACGGAACTGGCATTCATATGTATAAAAAGGGACTAGGGATAGAAGTAGGCATGAACAGGAGTGAGGCGAGCAACTCACGTTCTCTGAGGGCGCAATCTCTGATCACTGTGAGGGATCAAAGCCACCAACTCGTTCACTTGCTCTGCAAAAGAGCCAAACAATTATTTTTGGTCAAATAAATCCTATGATTCGGCAATACTTCCCTTCACTTCGCACACTGGCCTGCCACAACGTATTTGGAATTAAGACATTTCTAAGACACGAGTTTCACATTTTGGGTCTAATAAACAAGCAAATCTATAGAAAGTGCCACAAATCACAAAATATCTTGTTCTGACTTTCCTGTATGGCCTTGGGGAAGGTGACTCTTCTCTAGTCCCTGTCTCCTCATCACCATCACGACAGCTTTGGAGGAGAGGTGGTTCTCACAGCTCTAACCCTGTGCCCCGGCTTTCTGAGGACTGCCTTTGTGAGAGATGACCCCGCCCCCAGCCCCGGCTCCACTCCTGAGCATCTGTTTTTCTCTCCCCACTTGATATACACAGTTTTCAGATCTCACATTGTTAATGATTTACCACCTGCTTCCTTTGAACAGAAGCTTCCTGGGTGGTCCCCTACCTCCCCCCAACCAAATCTGTGCCAGGTCTTTCAAGTGAGAACAACAAAGAAACACGCCTGTCCACCGGTCTACAGCAAACTGTTGTAGACAGCCAGAGGCCCAAGAGAAAACCAGAGGCCCAAAATGGAGTCACCTGTGCTGAAGCCCATGACGGTGAACCCAGACTTAATACCTGACCCAACTGCAGTCTTGATCTTCTCCAGGAATGTAATCTTAATCAGTCAGTCTGGAATTTTCTGGTCACCACTAATGGTGCAATCATCTGCTGTGTGAACCTTCTCCATCTCCCCCGCTCCAAGAACAATCCCTCTTGCCTGAAACAATTCTTTCTTTCCATTTGCTAACGACTTTCATGTCCCACCCAGTTTCAGCCTATAAAAGCCTTCCACACTGAACAGCTCCATGGGGCTCCTCTACACTTGTTAAATGGGATGCCGTTCAACTTATGAATCACTCACCAAAGCCAATGCGATCTTCAAATTTATTCGATTGAATTTTTGTTCTTTAACAAAACCAAATGTTCCAAACCAAGGAAACAACAAAACAGTGGAAGTGAAGAAAAGAAAGGCTTTCAAATATAAGGAAACCAAGAGAAGTTGTGGAACCTGCCCAAATTCATCGAGTCAGCTGAGCGGGCTCCTGTTCAGGGCACCATCTACAACTACGGTATTACTGCTAGAATAACAGCTGTCTGGGAGATAGGAGAAGCCTCGTGGTCACCTACAGATTCTTGCTGGGGAATCAACCTTCCCATGACCAAAGCTTCTCACCTGTTGGAATGTAGCCTGTCCCTTGGCACGTGAGACAGGTGATGCTGTCCCGCCCGGTGAACTCCACATATGGGAACTGGGCAATGGCTTCTTCCTGCTCCCGTGCATCCAGTGTATCCTCTCTGTCATCTTTCTTTCGCTTGTAGGAAAAAGGGAGAGTGAAGGAGGAATGCTGGGACCCCATGGTCGAGATGTGCCTCCTGTGTCATGTCCTAGGATGCAGAGAGTCAAGTGAGTGCATGTTGGTGGCCACACTGCACAAGGAGAGAAGAAATTGTATCGGTAGGGCAAGTGAAAACACAAAAATGACTAAATTGCTGTCCTGAGTGTGATCCCAAAGACCTGCACAAGTCCTGCTAGGACTTCATTCTGTAGCAGTGCTCCCCATCCCCCTCCTACGGCCCATCGGAGGAACAGGGCCACTTTGGCCAGCCTGCCCAGGTCCTCACTGCCCCAGGGCTCAGGACAGCCCAGCTTCCCCCCTGATCCAGCTTTGCCCCTTCCCATCCACTATCTGCAAACTCTGAGCCCACCTCAAGAAAAGCTTCCTGAACAAACAACAGACACCAAATTGGTAACAGGCCTTACAGATCCTCCTCCCACTCGCCTCTCAGCCCCGGGAGGCCGGCTCAGGTCACGCCCCCCCCCGCCCCCCCCCTGGCAAAAAGCTTTGCTTGGAGCCCACCAGACTTGCCCAGGGCGGAGCGAAAGCCGGAGTCCCTGGACCTGCAAGGTGCGACCCCCAGCAGCTGCTGTCTGGCCGCAGCCCCTTCCGTCCCCGCCACCCGCCCCCGTCTGCGCGTTTACCTGACTCTGGAGTCCACGGAGCTGCCCACACTCGGTGCGCAGGCGCCGAATGTCAAGCAAGCTCCACGCTGTCAGGGCACGCGCATGCGCTCTTCGCAGCCCAGCACTCGGCGCCGCTAGAGGGCGGCAGAGTGCGGGAGGAGGAACTCTCGCAGAGAGTGAAAGCTGTACTCCGCGATGGCGTGGAAATGCTCCAGGCAAGTTTCCTGAGCAGAATGTTTCTCTGCCCCGGGAGGAATAGGGAGGCTACGGCGGTCAAAGTCAATCTCAACTATGTTTTTGAGCACAGGGGCTGTGTAGACACGCCGAAGGTACAAAGATGCAGAAGACACCAAACATTCCCTGGTCCTGCCCTTCACACGCAAAAAAGGCACGCACGTTGGGATTTGAAGTGTGGGTTCTCTGCAGGCGCTGCCACGTTGAGCCTAGCCCGTAGCATAAGGAAGTGAGGGCGGACATTAGTAAAGCGAGGTTACCCAGGATGATGGTGGGGAGAGGAGAGATTCTCGACTGAGTGAACGAGAGGCCTGCTTGGCAATGGACAGAGGCCGGACTCCTCCACGGCTTTGCCACCCCCATGTCTCTCTCCTCGTTCTACTGAGGGTCAGTGGATGGAAAATTACTAAGAGGAAGCATTAGGGGTCAGGGGAATGTTGGCTAATAGGATTGTTGCTGAAGACAGGCGGGCTAATCAGACGTGTCTTGGGGTTGGTGGGAAATGAGGAATCTGATTAGATTGGAAGGTAACCAGATAGCGAGTGCCGGGGGTTCTTGCAAAAACTGGATTTTACAACAAGTGCACAGAGGGGCCTAGGGAAGATTCAGGAACCTGACTGAAGTTTGGTCAAGCAAGACAACTTTGTCAGAAGCAACAGGGAGCCATTGCTCCTCCTTTTTCTACCTCATCCATTCATTCTCCTTGAAATCCAGTCTTCACCTTTCTTCTCGCAAGCACTGTACCAGTTTATATTCATTTGTCTACACAAATCTGATGTTGTTGGGGACAGCAATATGCTCAATTAAAAATATATTTCCAGACCTTTCTTGCCAATTCAAGCCAATGAGATGTAAGCAGAAGCTGTGTGTGACTTCCAGGAAAGCTTCTTAAAAGGGAAGGAGACTCAAGTAGTCCTTTGACCTTCCTCTTCCTGGTTGAAATTTGGATTTGATGCTGGAGGTGGGGCAGCCATCTTGTGACCATGAGGCAAGAAGTGCATGCTAAGAAAGGCTGGGTAGAAGGATAAAAGGAGCCTGGGTTCCTGATGGCACTTGGAGCCACATTCAGGCCCTGGACTCCCTATCTTACGACTTCTTGTTACATGAGAATAACCTCAAAATTGTGGGGTTATTTGGCTGTCTCTCATAGTGGGGTGCAACCCTAAAGGATACAGGAACAGAGTAAAGGGGAAAGCCTGGATTTTAACACAAGCAGTCTGACCATTTTAACCACACGTAGGTTCCTATCATTGCTTAATGTCTGTCCTTAGGGTGCATACCCCTAGAGAGAGGAAGGCCCCTTGCCTGACTGAGGCCTGTTCCACATTCAGTTTTCTTGTCCCAGACTCATTTGTGACAGGGAACTCACTTAGGGAATCTTGGGAATGAGCCCATCCTTTAGTAACATGCATGTTGCCTCACTTTGTGGTCTCTGCTGGAACCCCACCAAAGACAGGGTACAATCAACCGTACTGTGGATGAACATTACAGAGGGCTGTCCAGACTGTCCCAGAAGCAGGGAAGGTGAGGAGGCAGCAGTCTGATTCATACCAACTTAAGAAGAAGAGCAGGCTAGAGGAAGGTTGAGAGCTGTGGATGCTTTGGAAGGAAGAGAAAGAGGTTAGGAGCTGGGCCCGTGGGGAGGAAAAGACAGAGCTTTGGTCAGTGGAGGCTATAAAGGGGACCCGAGGGCTTACCCTGAAGAACCCTTGAGGCTTTCTGACAATCTGCTTTCAGCAGTGTGTCTAGGACAGACAGACTGTACTCTCTGGTGCGGCTCTTATTCTTTCCTGTCTCCTCAGCACACAACTTGACGCCTGGTGCATACTAGGCCCTCAGTAAATGACTGCAGACTGACTCAGCCTGGAGGCTGGCCAGCATGGCCGGGGGAGTAGTCCCAGCATCCACCCGAGCCATCCAGGAGGCAGTGTTAATTGGGCACTACATTCCTAAAGAGACACCCATCACTTCTCACCTGTGCCTGGCTTCCAGCTTTATCTCATCATCCTGGTTATGAGCAGTGAGGTTACTGCAGACGTGAGCTCACTGGGCCTCTCCGGGTGGGCTTGGACAGACCTGCACCCCTGGCATTCTTACTTCCTCCATATGCATTATGTCCCCCTGGCCCTACAAGTTGAGGGGAGTAAAGACCTCAAAGGCTGCTGTCCTGACGGGCTCTGGGGGGCAGGTCCTTAGCTTTACACCCTCTTTGCTCACACAGGACAGCACTGGGCAGGGGACTTTGTTAGCCTCCCTCTGCCCAGACAGGGAAACTGAGGGCTCAGAGTTGGAAGCTCTGTTCATGTTCTTCTTTCTGCCCCATTTATTTATTCCATGGTTGAGAAAACCTGCTTGAGGTGAAATGACACCCCATCGATGAAAGAATCAGGACTAGAACCAGATGTTTTCTTGTTCGGTACACTTTCCAACGAGATCGGAGACTTGCCAGAGCATGAGAGGTAGCGGCAGCGCCAGGCCTTAGTGCCACCGCTGCAGCCACTGTGGCGCAGCAGGCGGATGTTAGGGCCACACACCCATTTCATGTGATGGATTCTGTGTTTGTTCTAGTGTGATCAGAGGCCTCGGTGTGCAGAGCTCTGGCCTACGTGTTGTCCAGAGGAAGAGGAAATGGTCCCACGTGCGGAAGCTCCAGGTTTGGTTCTCTAAAGGGGGGACTCAGGGGAGAAGGGGGAGAGGCTGGTCCCTTGTGTTGAAGAACCTCTTATAGCAGCACGGATTTTGCCACTGACCTGGTGCTTCCTTGGCGGGGAAGCGGCGCTCATTTCCAGTTTACACACAGACACAGTCAGGAAAGCAGCTCGCCACACCTCTGACCGTGAGGTCTGAACTGGGTCTGGGTTTTCTGCTCCCAAGTCCTGTCTTTTCTTACCCTGCCATTTCCTATGAAGAATGGTCACGGAAGAGAGTTTTCTTCTGAGACTTTCCAGGGAAGGGAGTGGCACATAGGGCGCTTATACAGGTGGGGGCTGTCCTTGGGTGCGGTGCCCACAGCAGCTGTGGGCACGTGGCTCTGCTCAGAGGTCACCTGTGAGGGGGGACACAGGGTGGGTGCAGGGGCTTTTGTGTTGCAGGAGCTGGCCATTCACCACGGCTTGGTAAAGAGGACCCTTGAAGCCACTGTCAACCAAAGTGGTCTTCAAGGCCAAGGTCTCCTGGGCTCCTTCCTGAGGGGGCATAAAGGAGGCTGACTGTAGGGATCGCAGTGGCTTGGCTCAGGGGTGCACCCTGCAGCAGCCCCTGCCGTGTTCTGAATGCTGGCTGAGGCAGGAGGTGGGAGTTTTCCTCCATAAACCCAGGTGGACAAAAGATGTTCTATTTTTAAAAAATGGAAACCAGATGAGACGGGTGCATTTAAATGCAACTCAGAGCCCCATCCTGATTGGCTGGCAGGAAATTTAATCTTCTCAGTTATCAAGGCTGCCTCCCCTTCTCCAAGGTCACTCAAGAGTCCTAGAGACTTGCTTCTTAAAGCTCAGGAAGTAAGGGAAGGAAGGGCCTCTCAGCGCACAGGTCACACTCTCCTCCTTGTCCAGCGCCACACAGGCCTCCGATTGGGTGTTACCACTACCTCAGGGCCCAGGAATTCTTGCTCAGGCTGGCAGAGCTGGTGCCCAGGGTCGGGCATGGCCAGGGCACAGTGCAGCCATTCCCCGTGCTGTGCTAGGGAAGGGTCTCAGTCCTCATGGCCCTGCCAGGCCCCTTCCCACCTGACCTGGCTCCATCTCTCCCTGCCTTCCTCATGTTTCCCTGCCTCTCTTCAATGGCAACTCAGGAATACCTGGACCAGCAAACCAAGCCACTGATGGAAGATGGTTCAGTGAGTCTTAAAGTAGTCTTCGAAGAATATTTCTACCCCACAGATATCAAATTAACCCAGAGGGCTGTCATGTCTTTGGAACAGGGGCCAGAAGAACAGGGGAAACCTGCACACAAGCTTACCTCCAGGGGAACACCTGAACCGGGCTCCTGTAGGGGAGCTGCAGGCAGAGGAGACTAACGCCGGGCCCTACACACTGTTAACAACCGCTCCCCAGCTCCGTGTGACGGCTCTGGGGGACTCGGTCTTTAATAGTTGCCGGAAGTCCCTGCAGTGCCAGCAACCTGAGATGAACTGGCCCTCTAAGGCACACCAGAGTGTGTGAGATACACGCGTGTACTATACACAGCAAACTGCGTGGTCCTCTCTCCCCACCCCCAGAACTGCCACCCCTGAACACCCCTGCCTCAAAGTTCTGGGCCTCCTCCTGAGTTCGAAATCTGTGAGGGGCGGGCACCCTCGGGACAGGTGTTGCAGGAAGGCTACCTGTGCAGGGAAATTTGGGAAGCTGTGCCTGAGGGCTAGGCCGGGGGTGGGCTTGCTGGATTTTAGCTCTGCAGTAAGTGATGAAACCCAGGCAACAGTCACCAGTCTTCGTGGCCGCCCTCCCCGGCACTGCCCTTCTCACCCGCTGTGCCAGTGTCAGGGACAAGCTTGGGGGCTGGACAGACCCACATGTGCCTGTCACCACCGCTGATCTCCTGCCTCCGTCTGCTGCGGGCTGGGCACTGTGCCTGGGCCCTCAGCCGGTAGAGCCTCCGCTTTACCCCAAGCAGCCTCCGCCTGAGATCCAGCCAGACAAGTGGGAGAGGGACAAGCCACGGACAAGGGAACACCCTGTCCAGAGCAGGCAGTGAAAACATGGGAGGGCGATGGGAGTGAGGACGCCACAGGGCAGAGCCCGAAGACGGAAGGCAGAGATGAACTCC